ATGCATGATTGAAAGCTTATACACAAGACATGTTCTTGCATCGGCAGTAGCGGTAACTCAGGGAGAGTGCAGAACGGAGGAAGCTAGTGTAGTTTTTCATTAAACTTTCTCTGCGATCAAAACATAGAAGTTACTCGTATTATTTTTATTAAGTTGCTCGCATTATTTATTTTTTTTTTCTCGGTGTTGTGATTATTCTCGTTCTTATGCTGCAGTTCAATACCGCTGAGGGTAAGCGGGAAGCTCGGTAATGCGTGCACCATGATCAAGAGATACAGAGTTTAATGCGTCCTAGACGTAGTAATATGCACTATAAAATAAATATTAAGAATAATAAAATAAAATTGTTATAAAAATTCAAATAAAGAGGGGACGCGTAGAACGAAACCGCCGCAGCTGTGCATCTCGCATCGGTGAAGGGGCACCGACGGGGTTTACAGCTATCCTGGCTAGAGAAAGCTAAAAAAAACAGAGCTGATCTAAGTCTAATTGAATAAAGTTTTGGGAATTTATGAAGAAAACGAATTAAATGAATTTAATTGCAGAACTTATGAAGCAAATATCGCCGCTGCTCGGCGCCGTGTCTCGCACTAAGTAAGTGACCCGGTGCAGCTGGCCGAACGGGGCGGGGCGGTACCGCGAGAATCTTTTTAGGGGAAAACTTTTCTGAATATATATTTAAAATAAAAGAAAAAGGGTCATTTGATGGGAAAATTAAAACAAAAGAATGAAAGCCTAGAGGCAGCGGTGGCTGTTCAGGGTCAGTGACCGACTAGCTGTGGAAATCGAGACAAACGACAGAAGGGCCTAAAACGGAGGGAATTTCGGCGGGAAAAAGGGGGAAATTAAAAGGAAATTAAATAAAAAATTAAAATTAAACAAGAAAAAGAATAAATATTGTTTGGTTTCTCGAGATATACAACCAAAANAAATAAAAAATTAAAATTAAACAAGAAAAAGAATAAATATTGTTTGGTTTCTCGAGATATACAACCAAAAGGCCTCCTCATCGTGCTCCATCGCTTGCTGCTGCATCGGCGGGACCTTGCGGGAGGCCATTGGTTGGTTGGTGAGTAAGTGAATGGCGGTGAGCTGTTGTTTCATATATTTATATTTATATTTATCATCATTATTTTATAAATACTTTTTCTATTTGAGCTGTTTTTGCTTTTATATTATTAAAAAGTACAAACATATACTGCAGATTGTTTCTTTTTATTGATCTTTTTTCAGGTTGTGTTGAGCATCCTGTTTATATATATCTCTTACTTGTTGTGTTGTTGTTTCTTTGTTCTATCGCTAGATAGATCTCTGTATCTCTCTGATCTATATTAACTCATTCAATCCACTTTTTTATCTTTTTAAACTTCATTCTTATTTAAAATGATGTTTAATTCTTCTTCTTTTCCTGCTGCAGCTCCTGCTGCAGCATCTGCAGCTGCATCTTCTCTTACCCAGGCGCCTGGTGTAGTAAGCACCGCTGCTGTATCTGCTGGGTTAGTTGAGAATGTATACAATAAAAGAATAAAAAAAGGAGAAAGAAGAGGATTATATATGAATACTAATAGTTCTTCACTTGGTTTTCGTTTTCTCTCTCTATTAGGATCTCTTTCTGTTGTTCTTGGTTTTGTATTTTTTCTCTTACCCTATCAACCTGTGTATAGTGCAGCTGCCGATACACCCGGGAATGAGCTTCCTTTTAGGGAAACATTTGTATCGAGCTCAAGCCTATCACCGCTTGCAGAGCCTCATATAACATCGAATACATATACTCTTGCTGCAGGGGGGCAGCTGGCGGAGCAGCAGAGCAACATAAGAAAGGCCTTACTGGAGCAGCAACTAACCAATCATCTACGTGCTGCTGAGCTCGCTCGTACACAGCAGCAGCAAAGTATATCTATGCCTGCTGCATCTCTAGCAGCACCAGCAGCAGCAGTAACATTTACAGCATCAACACCTATCGCAGCACCACCATCACCACCACCACCACCGCCAGCACCAGCACCAGCACCAGCACCAGCACCAGCACCGTCAGCAACAACAGCAGCTCCTGCTGCTACTGCTGCTT